CAGAATTCCCCAGCCAGCCATGCTGGCTGGGGAATTCTGGGAGTTGAAGTCCACACCTCTTAAAATGGCCTCGGCTGAAAAACACTGCCTTAAACATACAAACACATACACACCCATCTCTTTCTGGGGACGCTGTATATTCCTGGAGCAGCAACAGTGATAGAATAAACTGGCTTTTCCTGAGTTCGAGCACCGTTCCTCCACCTTCTCTGCAGCTTCCCCTCTCCTCTAGGGCCCAACTCATAAAAAGAGGGAGAAATAATAGTCTAAGCCTTTCGCTGTCGTGAATGCAGGAAGGCAACTCCCACTTTGCAGAGGAGAGAAAGGACTCTGGGAGCGCCCCAGAGGTCTAGCCGGGATTTTGTTCGTGACGTCCAACCCCTGCCGATTCGAGGTCGCTGCAGTCGAGGCCTTGCCGTCAAACTCTTCCTTGTTTCCTCGCAGGACGCTGACTTTTGGAAGTGCGGTGGAAGTGCAGGGGAAGCTGGTGAAAAGCCCACACAAAGGACAGAAAGTGGAGCTGAAGGCAGAAGAGATTCGTGTGGTGGGCCCTTGTGACGTTTTGGTAAGTGAATTGTTTTCCTCCGGGGCGGTCCGTGGGCTGCTCCCTGGCCGCAGGCTTTCCTGCAAAGAAATTCAGCTGCAAGCTCGTCGTACGCAGTGGGGCATGCTCTTGAGTAAAGATCGACTCTGGTTCTTCCCTCTTTAGGCCTTCCCTCTGAAATACAAAGTCCATCACTCTCTGGAATATCTCCGGGAGCTGCCTCATTTCCGATGCAGAAGCAATGTGCTGAGCGCCCTGCTGAGGGTACGCAGTGAAGCCACTGCAGCCATCCACGCCTTTTTCAAGGTAATCCCAGTCTTGGGAACTTCCTGCTACAAGATGTAGTTATGGCCATCAATTTGAAAAGTGGCCAGTTCATAGACAGAAGTGGCTGCTAACCAGGAGAGGGGCTTAGCAGACTTTTCAGGCGATGGATGGATGGATGGATGGATGGATGGATGGATGGATGGATGGATGGATGGATGGATTGATGCATCATGTATAGTTAAGTAATACATGATGTTCACACTCATGTATTACTTAATTATATATATTTTATATTACAGGTAGTCCTCGCTATCCGACCACAATAGAGTCTGGAATTTAGATCGCTAAGCAATTTGGTCGTTGAGAAAATCAGAGCTGATTTTACAACTTTTTTATGATGGTTGTTAAGCAAATCACCATGGTCATTAAGTGAATCGTGGTTGTTAAGCAAATCCAACTTCCCCAATGGACATTTTTTGCTGGAATTCGCTTAATGACTACGTGATTCGCTTAATGACCATGTGACGCTTAAAGACCACAGTGATCTGCTTAATAACTGTCATGAAAAAGGTAGAAAATTACGATCATGTGACTGCGGGGTGTTGTAAAGCACTTTTTCCATGGCTGTCATGACTCTGGACTATGATTAAATAAATGGTCATTAAATGAAGACTACCTGTATATATGTAGACTTGAAGAACCAGATTAGGGATATTTCATCATGGAGAAATTCTGTTTATGTGTTGCTAAGAGTTGACAATGACTTGATGATGCATAATCAGTCAAATAAATAAATAAATAAATAAATAATTTTATCAGCTCATTAACTAGCTCAGAAATCAGCAGTCTGGTCTCACCTTTTCAGACTAACAAATTTGATTAGAAGGCAGAAACTTTTGCTCACAAAAGCTTCTCCCTTTTAATCAAATTTGTTAGTCTGAAAAGGTACAACCAGATTGCTGATTTTGGGCTATGATAGATTAACATAGCTTTCCTCCTACGTTAGCAGCTTCAGTTACTGAAGCAACTCTAAGTGCATATGAGGTAATAAACAATTAAAACAGGATAAAAATATTCACAGCAACAGTGGGAAATACAGTACCCAACCTTGCCTTATACAAGAACATTTCAGTGACTCAAACCTTGTGTGAGTTCTAAATCTTACGAGATTTTGGCCATCTGAAGCCCATTCCTGGTCCTACGAGAAGTGAGCCATTAAAAATAATGATTTTTTTTTTTTTTTGGTGCCTTCAAGTCAATCTTGACTCTTGGCGACTACTTGGACAAGTCCCTGCAGTTTCTTGGCAAGATTTCGGAAGTGGTTTGCCATTGCCTCTTTCCTAGGGCTGAGTGAGAGGGACTGGCCCAAGGTCTCCCAGCCAACTTCGTTTCTAAGGCGGGAGTAGAACTCCTGGTCTTCTGGTTTCTAGCCTGGTGCCTTCACCACTACACCAAACTGGCTCTTAAAAATCACGATGCATTATCTTTATCTGGAGCTCCTGCAGACACCACCCGGGGTTCTTGGGTATGTGGACCTGCCAGGTGGCTGATCCCTGCCATGTTTCCACGGGAAACGCATTGTGGCGCTTGTAAGCTTCTGGCTGTGTTTTGCCAATTGTCAAGGCAGCAATCAGGTGCCCAGGCAATTGGTTCTTTTAGATCCAGGGACAATGAACACACCAGCAGGTAAGGAGGCTTTAGGCTTTATGGTTAACTCGAGCAAACAGATTTAAACAGGAATATAAGAATTAGCAGATGGCATTAAACAGAAATACAAAAACATAGTATAAAAACATCACATGCCAAGCAAGATGATAAAACTCTTCCCCAACTGTCAGGAGCTACCATAAGGTGACCGTGGAGAGACCTCAAGATGGCTTAGATAACACTGTGCCTGGTCCCAAGGCCTGTGCCCACGCTCCCAGTTCCAGGGGCAATGCCAGGGCTTTTTATCAAAGTCTGGCCCTGCAATCCCATGACTCTGTTTTGGAGTCAGGGGCTTGGAGAGTGACCTTGACCAGATGGATACCTGCTCATCAAAAGGATCCAGAGCCTGGGAACTGTACAGATAAGCTAGTGCTTAACCTAGACAATCCTGAGGGTTTCCCCCCCCCTCTAAATAAAAGTGAAAAGGCAGCTAAACATTATGATGATTCAGTGTGAACTTTCTTAATATGTGCAGGAGAAATTAAACCATGTCACCTAAACTCCTTGAAATAATAACGGTCTTCTGCATTGCCACTACACTCTGTTTGTTCACTTCAGGCTGCAAGATGAGTTGGCCTGCCGGATCGGATCAAAGGGGCTGTTCAGGAGAGCAGGAAACCAAAGTCACGCAGACTAATACTACTTTTATTTTAGGGTTACAGTAACAGAACCTTGCAAGTCTGAATGCATTTCCCCCCCCTCGATCTTTGTGAGAACTGGGGAGGGTCTTGTCTGAGTCACTTTCTCAGGTTACAGTTCTGCCCTGGACTCAGGTTTCTTTTATCCGATCATTGTCTTGGCAGCGGCTCTTCCTCTGGTTCCTCAAGGTTATCCCTTCTGCCCGTTAATCAGTGGTAAATGGAACTGAGCTCAGAAGAGGCTCGTGAGAATGTGGCACCCCTCATGATCGTGAAGGGTCTGGAGACTAAGCCTGGCGGGGAACGGTTTAAAGATCTGCCCGTGCTTGGTTTACAAAAAAGATGACTGAAGGGAGGTAGGAGAGAAACATAGACTTATTCCCTGTTGCCCCAGAGGGCAGGACTGGACCAGTAAAAATACAAGGAAGGAGGTTCAGACTAGATACCAGGAGGAACTGAATGTGTGAGCTCTTAGCCAGCGGAACAGGCTGCCACATGAAATGATGAGTTATCCATTGCTGGAGGTCTTCAAAGAGAGGCTGGATCATCATCCATCAGAAATGCTGGAGTGGATCCTGCACTGGACGGGGTTGGACTACATGACCTCTAAGAACCTTCCAGGTTTTGGATTCCCCTGCTCTGATTTCTGTCCCTGGCATGTTATCGAAGGCCTCCAAGACGCCAGGACGGTGCAGCTACGGTGCTCTAAACCCCACCGTGGCTTTCCTCTTAGCTTCAGCATGCTGCATTTTCTCCTCTCTAGTGTTTCCTCCTCTTTTCAGAGCCAAACATTCAAGGACTGGTCATTTTACGATGCATGAACATGGCCATACTCAGAAGAAATGGATAGTTGCTTGCTTGGCCAGGCTGACCCACTAGTTTAATTCAGCCCATATCCGGTTTCTTAAAAAGGTTTTCTGGAACGCATTGCACCTTCTCATCGGGAGGCAGCCCCTGTGTCAGCTTACCTGGCCTTGGAAACTAAACTGAATCAAGCCTGGAGCCTATATGGATGGGAGACCACCAGGAAATCTCCAGGATGTAGCATTGACTAAGAGGTTGGGAAAACTTTCTGGAAAAGAAGGCTATAAGAGATGGGCGGTGACAAATTTGAAATATAAATAAATAAATAAGCAAGCAGTGGCAAGGGGCTTCTGTCCTGTTGCCCCCCCCCCCAAATTGCAACGAAATGTCCACAGTCCCTAGGAGTCAAGCTTGGTTTGTTTATTTATCAAATTTGTACGGCCGCCCATCTCACAAAAAAGTGACCCTGGGACTTAAAGTACCATCCTGGGAGTGGGGGGCTTTTTGGAACATGGTTTCTGGCAGGTAGACGTACCCAAATGCACCCCACCTCAGACGCATTTCCCAGGGAAGGGAAAACCTCTAAACTCCTTTTTTGCTAAACTTCACTATAGATTGATAGGATAGGGTGTTGTACCAGTCTTTGTGCTTTATTTATTTTTTTTTATGTATGTATGTATGTATGTGTTTCTCAACCTCGGCAACTTTAAGATGCGTG